TGTCAGTCTTGAAGTGTATAGCATAATTTCGTTTCGTAGAAACAACGAAGTAACTTTTGTCCACCTTTTCAAAATAACTCAAATAACTATAAATTAGGAAAATTCCTGACAATTCCAGGAGAAATATTTGAGAAATAAACGAGATACAATAAATTATCACAGTACTGTTATACCTGAATGTTCTATTATCCGAATAGAATATATTTACTAGCAACATTTTATATAATTTATAGTATTTTTCTTCTTTGCAAAGGAGAATCTACTGAAATACGAGATACGAGATATTATTAAAAAAACAATATCGATGAAGTATAATATTATGTTTAATTCCATCACAATCAAAATCAATGCTCTGTTCGTGAATGACAAAAGATGTCACAGATATAATTCTCTCGGAAACTGAAACGGTAAACAAATATGACGAGAATATGTCTTACGTCAAGAAAAGGACTTCATTGGTTCGAAATAAAAAAAAAAAAAAAAGCAGAGCTTATTTATACTGAAAATAGTCAAGTGAGTCAACAGTCAGAGAATATCGTTCTTAAAATATACTGATTATAAACTGACAATTTTCTTGAATACATCCTCTTGAATACATTTCAATGGAATTTAATCAAGTCAAAAGGATGATTGTTCCATTATCTGAAAATGCCATTAACCACATCATTTTTGTCTCTGTAGTGGTTCGGAGTATGAAAGCTCTACAATGCTTAATATGTAAAAACTGTGTAAGATACGGGCCAGCAATTTTCCAGATGCATTTCACACGTTCGAATGCCAGTTGGCACTCGAGCGTTCTACACTTTTATTGCAGTTAGAATTTTGAAACGCATCTGACTGTATATTGGAACAATTAGCCCGCTCTACCTTCTCCTCGCTATATCACACTACATTCGTTATTGTTCCTCGTTCGTGGCCAATGTCTCCAATTACCGTCATTGTCGCCGAGATTTAGATTGACGAAAATATGTTGGATGACCAACCCGGACAATATTGAATCTATTGAAGCTAGCAACAGTCCACATAAAAGTGGACTGTGAATAGTTAGTCATAAGGGCAAGATCCAATAAATAGTTGGTCCATCTATGCTCCTTCTCCTTCCACTTGACGATGACAACCAAATATATATAAGGACATGCTTTAGAGAGAGCATTCGAGGGCATAAAACATTCTAAATCATATAAAAAGACATTATATATCATTAAGAGCATAAAACATTCTAGAGACATTCTATATCATTAAGAGCATAAATTATTATATCGTTAAGAGCATAAAACATTCTAAATCATTCTACATCATATTCAAAAGCATTAAACATTGTACATCATATCCAAGAGCATTAGACATTCATTATATTCTAAGACATTCTAAATCATTGTAAATCATTCTATTTTGTACACGACTGAAAGGGAACAAACTCTTCTAAATTATAAGCGTGTTGACTGCATTACACGGAATCCAACAAGTAAACGTTTAAAAACGTGTAATTCATCATATTCTAAGACATTCTAAATCATTGTAAATCATTCTATTTTGTACACGACTGAAAGGGAACAAACTCTTCTAAATTATAAGCATGTTGACTGCATTACACGGAATCCAACAAGTAAACGTTTAAAAGCGTGTAATTTTAATAATTTTCTAATGTAAATGTAAAACGGTGATCTCATGTGTTTTTATTTACAAACGAAACGATTAATCTGAATCTAAGAGAGCGATTCATCAGTCGGGATTTTATAATAAAAATCAAACACACAATATGTGTTTATATAATAAAAAACAACACATTACTATTAATAAGGTTATTCTGTTGGTAAAATGTGCATAAATATTCAGAGTCGGTTTGTTTTTGTTTTTTTTTTTTTTTTTTTTTTTTTTTTTTTTTTTTTTTTTTTTATTTTTTTTTTTTTTTTTTTTTTTTTTTAGATTAGATTGTATTTTTCTCGTCAGGTATTTATAATCAAATCTTTTTTTCGTATAATCGTAATTACCATATTCTAATGCTTCAGGTCATCCTTCAGATGATAATAAGTCTATTCACTATACCTCACGCGAATCAGTCTCGCGAGATGATAATTCTGGAAGCTGTCCTTGTGCTTCCTAATTAAAAACTCCCCCGCCCCCCTCCTTTTTTTAAGGAAAAATTATGTTTACATCAATAAGTGAAAAGTCTTGTCTTGTGAAATTGTAAAGTCTAAGTTCTTAACATCATCGTCGGAATCAGTTGGACGCGTTAGGATCAAAAATTAGCTTTAGAATTGAATCTCGAATCTAGATTCTCTTTCAGAATCAGTTTCAGCTGTCTCAACCTAGAAATTAGAAGCAAATTAGGCCCCTATTCCTGACACGCTTCAGTAAACGAAGCAGACAGTTAAACAAAAACCAGACGCAGCCATTTCCCACGTCGGTGGGTGGCCCTTCATCAGGCAAATCAGTTGCTCGCTCGTAGCAGAACACATTCTTCTCGTGAAATTGCTGATTTTAGATGCGAGTGAAAAATATAAACTGAATTCAAGAGAAATACCGAGAATCTGAATCATAAAATTTTCTTGCGGCATGTGTTCAATCGAATAATAATGAATAAATGCATAAATATATTAATAATAAAATGCACATAATCACGTTGAAACTGAAAATTTTTCGAAAGCTACGTGATACGACAAGAAAGATTAATTTTGTACTGATCGAGTGACATGAATAATATGAAACACCTATATGAGTATTTCGTGCGAGATAATGGTAAAATCTTGAAAATTAAATTTTCAAGAGTGTCGAATTTAATTGTCGATCAATGATCCATCAAGATTTCCTTAGGTTCTTCATCGAACGTTTCTAATACCTGCAAATGCGTGCAGTAAATCACGTGTGGCTCGGCTGAAATGGTAACAATTACGAGCTCTTTCATTGTTCCAATGTGAGGAACAAGTTAAATCGACACGCCGACTGGAACTTTTCCCTCGCGGTATGGTATAAAACCGATTAACTTTTTTCCTTTATAAAAGACCAAACACTTGCTCGTAAACGTGGCGATGGCTGTTTGAATAGCGTGCCGACGACCCGCTAGTGGCAGTTTCAATTTTCCCCGATACATACAAAAGAGTTCAATCGACCATTAAAGTAAGGTACTTGGATTACGCTTTTCTTTTTTTTTTTTTTTTTTTTTTTTTTTTTTAATAATCGACGTGTTAAAGAGGTTAACGAACCGGGAAGTCGGCCACTTTATTGTCGTTTAATGACAGGAAAATCATCATAACGTGGTTTATTGTACCGTGACGTTGATGCACAAAGTTAGTTGTGGGAGAGAAAAAAAAAGGGGGGAGGGAGAAGAAAATTGTTGTAACGAGAAAACACAACGACTGTTTACTTTCCATTCGCCGTTGGTTAGAGAATCGCCGGGTTGAAGATCCGATAATTAAACGCGGTAACTGTAATGTTGTTATCAAGGCGAGTTAAGGAGCATGATTTAATTAGCGATAGCCACCGATAACAAAGTGGACGCGAATTTCTCTGCGAGCGAGGTTCAAAAGTATCCCACTTCGTTGATGATTTGATATTGTTCGCAGCGTTCGAACGGACACCGTGATTTTTGAGTTAAGAATCTATCCGTCTTTGGTGTTACACGCGATTTTATACATCACACGGGTCTTTTAGCGTAGTCTTTAACGTACACTACACACACGTATTCCTCATTCCAAGGATTCAATGAACAAAATATATTATCAATGTATATGCATGTACTAAATATTGGAATTGATGACAAAAATGACATTTAACATGAATAATCGAGTCATCAAGTAGTTATAGATGGTAGCACATCTAAGTTGGAAGAATCGGTCGAATATTACAGGTGAACGATTTTTAGAGCGTCAAAGATTTTATTAATTGGACGAAGCATGTTTCCTGTTTCTCTATATGTGTACTCTCAAAAATTATATAGATTAAAGTCTAACAGAAAAATTATATAAAATTATATAGATTATGTTTAAAATTATATAAAATTATATATTATGTTTAAAATTATACAAAAATATATAGATTATATTTAAAGTTATATCTAATTATATAGATTATATTTAAAATTATATAAAATTATGTAGATTGTATTTAAAATTATACAAAATTATATAGATTATATTTAAAATTATATAAAATTATGTAGATTATATTTAAAATTATACAAAATGATATAGATTATATTTGAAATTATACAAAATTACATAGATTATATTTAAAATTATATAGATTATATTTGAAATTATATAAAATTATGTAGATTGTATTTAAAATTATATAAAATTATATAGATTATATTTATCTATATAATTTTCAAAGTTCGTTTAATACATGTGAGATACAAACATCTAGCTTCTTTAATTGAGTAATATATCGCAAATGCCTGCACTCTTTTTCCATTCCTTTTTTTAGATAAAAAAACAGGCCAATCAACGCTAGAACTACCGACGATTAAAGCATAAAATTTCCATCAAAGAGATTGAAGTCAAAAAAAAGTAGAGAAACTCTACGATACAATGGAGTGTACAAACTTTCATTTGCATATTTTACAAGAAATTATCTAAATCTTTAAAAATCACGTCTATAAAATATCTAACAAAAATTATAAATTGGTCATTTTGACCAATACTTTAATCATCATATATATATATATAATATTATAATACTATCTACTTTAGTGGTAGTTTCAGTGTTGATTTGAAAAATCCCAACAGACGTCGTTAATAATCCATTTCCATCGAATTGTTGCGAATACCAACTTCGAACCCGTGCCCCGCTTTTTCACCGATTTCTATTTAATCACGACCGCGAAACGAAACGAAACGAAAAGGGAAGAAATTCGTTTTTACTTGTCGAAAGGTTCGATTGTCAGGTTTGATTAATCAGCGTCAGATCGTTGCTCGTACTTTACGAAAAAGTCGGGTAACATTGTGAAAGAAAGATCGTTTTTTCGGAAACGTATTGAATTTCGCGAGACTGTCGTTCGTTCTAAAGATGGCTGTATTCTGATTCTAGATCCCAGGGTGAACCATTGGATGATGATGAGCAGCCCTCTTCCAACGATAGCGATATGCCTATTTTACGCTTATTTCAGCAAGGTTTTGGGACCGAGGCTAATGGAGAATAAAAAGCCTTTCAGACTCCGGGGAATCCTGATAACGTACAACCTGATCCAAACGCTATTCTCCACGTGGATCTTCTACGAGGTTCGTCTCTGTTATTTATTTATTTCCTTTTCTTCCCTTTTCGCTTTTTCTTTTTTTTTTTTCGGGACAAGTTCGTCTTGATTCTTGTACAATGTGTCAATAGATGATCGACAGGAGGTTATGCCACGTATGAAAGTAAATTGTCAAAGGTACTATTTTCGTCGTTTGAACATTCTTGTGTTCAAGAAAGTCAAATTTGCAACTCTGAGTACGCGTACGTGTATTCGTATAGTTTTTAATATATTTAAGCACTGTTATCTTTGAAAGAAGGCCATGGACAACAGAAGCTTGTTTTACATTTTCGACTTATTTTCATGTGTATATAATAACTTCCTTCCGATCGTCCACTCTCATCTAGTCCGAAATTCTTAATTTATTTTGAAAACTTATAATATATGAATTTATTCTTGCAAGTTAGTCTTTGGATTCTCTCCTTGAGCCAACTTATAAATAAAGAGTAAATCACGATTATCTGCGAGAAAAATATTTGAATCAAGTTAGATAACGTGCCTCATAATCTACCAAATTCAGATAGAAAGAATTTTACATATTCGTGTCAAAAGTGAAATTAGTTTCTAATTCTAATTCAAGTTAAGAGTTGTTTCAAGTTTCTCTATATATACATGCATTATTCCTCAAGATGCGAATAGACATTGCCAAGAAATAATACATATATGTCAATTATCATGACAAAGTTTGAAAAAAAACACGACGATGTGCGATTAACAATGTCGGCAACAAATTCGACGCGAAAATTAAAAATTTCACGACGACGAGGAGGCATCTGGCGACTCTGAATAATTCCATCTTGCCACGTTGGCGCTGAAACGGAGGCGAACGATTGTCCCTCGCTTAGTGGAGGCTAAACTCGTTCGAGTAATCTCATTCCGACGTATCATCGATCCCGCCTAGGATAATTAATAGCTGGTCTCGGCAACGATATGATGCCGCCTATCCTCTTATTCGTGAAAGTTATTGCCTGCCACCATAGGCTCTCCTTCTTCGACCAAGTCAATGAGATTCATCGCCTCGATGAAAAAGCTCGCGGGCTCCGGCGATTGGCATTTTTTTCTTTTTTTTCTTTTTCAGTCTTTCCTTTTCCGCGAATATCGGATACGCGCGCGAAACGGGATCGTTTTCGATCCGACTGACTTGCTCGAGGCTGCTCTCCTTTTTCCACGGGCCAAGGGAAACGAAGGGGAACGTCTGGCTGCTTTTATCCACGGTCGAATCGCGAGCTCTTAAATACCGCTTAAGCTTAGATTATCGGTACCGCTGGATTTCGAATTTTGCTTCTCGGAAGAATGGAGCGAGTGCCATTTCTTTGCCCTGGCAACTACGATCGCGGACCGTAACGAGTGACCAAAAAACCCGTGTACAATGATCCGTCGTTGTGATATTGGCTATTGGATAGAAATGATCGAGAAAAAGTGATAAATTTATTATTTGTTTTTACTTAAACATACTCGAAACTGTGAAAATATTACAATTTTGGGAACAAATTGCAACAGTTTTTCTCAATCTCAAGTATATTTAAATGTAACCCGGATAAGTTTATTACGTCTTAATAATTTCTGGCCAGCGATATCATATACCGACGAGTTCGAAAGAAAAAGAAAGCGACGAATTATTGTGCTGTACGGTCACTCGTTATGGTCCGCGCAACCAGAGTTGCCAGCGCAAGGGGTTAATTTGAACATCGGCGCTTTCTTTCTCATCTATGATCCTGAGACCGACAATCAACTATAGTGTGTAACAACGTACAATAAACCACGGAGCGATTTGCGAGAGACATTCACGAAACGTTAATACATATTTACATATTGGAGCGCAGTAATAATTATGCAATGACATACTGTAACTTTAAATGCATTTATCTCGTATTAATCGTTGGCTAAATTGTATCAAATTCTTAGATGGAAAAAAATGCCCCTGTCTCCAGGTAAATCTTTATACTTGAGTCACAGAAACAGACAGCAAATTGTAGTCCAATCTACGGAATTTGAATTGGAATTTGATATTTCAGTCGTATTTAATGAAATACCCGATCGTATTTGGTTTGCGCTTAGTATGTCGCGTACGCGCCTCGGTTACAGTTATCTCCTGAGAATCGTACTCACGTAGGTGTATGTCACGTTACTTTCTCCGAGCTTTTCGCCGATCCAATTATTATTCGGCTGCCCGGTCGTGTATCGGTCGTAATTAACTTGCGGACAGACAATCGGCAGACCTATGTCCTAAGTTTTCATTATGTCCACTTTGAAATTCACACATTTTTTTTTTCTTTCTTTTTTTATACTAACTCTGATCTTACTACAACTTTTTTAGATGTGTAACTAAATCGTCATTCAGTAACAATTAGATTATAATAACAAAGATGTGTGAGTATGCAGTTGGTGGAATTTTCAAACTCAGTTTTTCTCGAAAACGAAGTATTTCCTTGTTTTTTCTTTCTTTTTTTTTTTTATTTTTTCGTTGATCGTACCAAACGTCTCTGCATGTATAGTTCTAGTATAATTCTCTCAGTTGCACGTCATGCGGGTTTGTCGCGTGTTTTTTCCCTACTTCAATCTCTTCTGAATAATTTAACGTCATTACAGTGTAATTGCATTTAAACACTGCGCACAATGCACGTGTGAGGAAAAAAAAATTTAGGTTAAATTTAGAACGTAAGGAGATTCTAATTTTCTCTTATTAACTTGCAAATAAGTCATTTCATGTAGCCGATAGACCGAAATTATCGACTTAATAATTCGCAAGTGACGTTCATTTTGATCACCTTGTCGTTTATCTTACTAGTAATATCGAAGATAACCGAAGATCGATCGTTCGAATGTTGAAAAGTCCCAATAAAACAAATCCTAAAAGTCTGAGACAGTAATTTCTTCAAAGTTTTCACACGTGACTGCAACGGTTCGTTTCTGAGAAATCGAAATTACCACAATATACAAATGATTTAGACTTTTAGACTAGATAAATGATTTAGATTTTTTTTTTTTAGACTAGATTTTATTTTATTATTATTATTTGTCTGAGACAGTAATTTCTTCAAAGTTTTCACACGTGACTGCAACGGTTCGTTTCTGAGAAATCGACATTACCATAATATACAAATGAGTTAGACGATATAGAGTCCAGTAATTTTATTTTGTTTCATACTCTCTTACGATTCGCAACTTTTATAAATTTCCTCGGAATATCGATACTTTCGACAGATGATCCGAAACCCATAAATCGAGCGAATAAATGCTTCAACGATCCATGAATCGATCTTTTGCCCAAAAAAAAAAAAAAAGAAAAAGTCCTTCACTGGCCATTTACCCGATGTATAATGAATCTCGCCGATTACTCGAAGGAGGGAGGCCTTTCCTTTTGACAGAGTTTTTCGCCAGAGAGCGAACCAGTCGATTTAAGGAGCGCATTAGCCACGCTGAACGAGCATCGAAAGAACTTTCCTCGTCATTGAGGAGGAGCTATTAGTACGCAGTGAAGGTCCAAGTTGAGCATTCGGTTTTACCATTGGAACCATTGGGTGGAGAGCTGAGCGCTGCTGTAGGATGCCATAATGAGCGACAACGCAATTTTCGTGACACGATGACACGATTCCGCGCGCGACACGTATTCCGCGAACGAGGGTGTGTGCAGGTGCGAAATTTGTTACGCTGATCTGGATAGGCACGCGCTCACCGAGCTAGCTCTCTGCCTTTCCATGTACGCCAGGCTATTATTTCGAAACGTAGAAAATACTAGCTAGTACAGAAGCATACACGTGTACGTACGTATGTATATTTATATACGTACGTACACGTGTATATATTATATATTTATTAAACGTAGAAAATACTAGCTAGTACAGAAGCGTACACGTGTACGTACGTATGTATATTTATATACGTACGTACACGTGTATATATTATATATTTATTAAACGTAGAAAAAAAATATATATATATATATATTTATTTATTTATTTATTAAACGTAGAAAATACTAGCTAGTACAGAAGCGTACACGTGTACGTACGTATGAATATTTATATACGTACGTACACGTGTATATATTATATATTTATTAAACGTAGAAAATACTAGCTAGTACAGAAGCGTACACGTGTACGTACGTATGTATATTTATATACGTACGTACACGTGTATATATTATATATTTATTAAACGTAGAAAATATATATATATATTTATTAAACGTAGACAATACTAGCCAATACAAAAGCATATACATACTTATAATTATATATTTATTATACGCGTAGCAAAAACCAGTTCCCAATCGGTGGTAATATTAATAATTGCGATACATTAATGCATTTTTCATAAAATGTAAATACATTAATCTATTTTTCTTTCACCTAAATACGCTTATGTTTGATTTCTGCTACACGTGTCCGCGTATATTAAAACAAGCACAAAAGCCTTGGAACAAATACCGTGTATCGTTTGCTCAAAAAACTGGAGATGTTAAATGACACAGGCTTACATGAGAATCTGTAACGTTAATGAATTTTCATGTTCACGTTAATGAATTTTCATGTTATATATTAAACACAAGCTTGAAAGCCTTCGAACGCTACGTATATTTGCTCCAAAACTGGAGATGTTAAATGACAGTTTGTCTAAGAAAGAATTTGTAACGTTAATGGATTAACACAAACTTAAGAACGTTTATTAGCTACAATAAATGTTGAATATGAAAAGAGGAATGCGCGTATGCTGCATGTGAAAACAAAAATATCTCAATCTTTCGATTAAAGTAACGCTTTCCTACAAGAAATCATTTACACCGATACAATGGAGAGGCTTGTTTCTGTTTCTCTATGGGTGATTTTCAAACATTGCTATGCTTATAGAAAAATAAGAACACGCCAAGCCGAATGAAGGAAATCTCGCTGCACCACTAACATTCGGGAATTCCCTTGAACTAAAAGACGTACTATTGTGCACTAGTACGTAGTATTTGATCATTGACAGTGATTGAGGTTAAAT